CGATGCCGGGGCGCGGGGCCGGCGGCGCTTCCCGCGGTCGCCTGAGGGGCTGCGTGCGGGCGCTGCCGTGTCGCCGAGCCCTCTCGGCGGTCGCCTTTTAATCCCATCTGCCTCGTCTCACGAGAAACCAGCTTCGCGCCCAGCGCTGGCGAGCGCCTACTCTTTTATTTATTCGCTGAAGTGGGAAGCTCCCCGGAGCCCCGCCAGCCTGCGCGTCTGCCTGACAGCCTCCACGCCAGAAGTAACCGCGCAGCGTTTCTCGCTGGGGAGAATCAAGCCCTTTATCTGCAGTAGTAAATTCAGTCTCTGCTAAAAGATGGTCTCTGTTGAAATTGCTGCGGAGTTGCTGTTTATGCCAATTCTGGGTTTTAGGGAAACACCTGTTTGGTAGGGAAAGGACCGAGACAGTAGAGCAGCTGTCAAAAAATATTAGACGCCTCTCCCCTAGCAATCTGCACAAGTGAGATTGTGTGTGCCCCACTCACTTCAACTTGCTCCTACAAGTTAATTATCCTGCAGAAATTTTCCCAGATGACAGCCACCATTTGGCACAGGATAGTACTTTGTTGTATGTGAATCATTTCGCTGCTGTGAGAATAGGCCGTATCTGACAACTTTTTAGAGTATTTGTGGCTAACATTGAATTCTTCTACGAATTTGTGTCATTTAATAACTAGGTATTACGATTGTATTTTAGAAACATGAGATTTGTCCTGTTACCTCCTTTGGCAGGTGTCTGGGAGGATTTCACTGTGCCGAGTGGTGTTTTGTTCGCCATGCGGAGACATTCACAAGCGGTCTAGAAGTCTTTTCCATGTCAGTGCTTTATAACCCAGGCTCCATAAATTTGGGTACATATGAGAAGAATCTGGAAATGATGGTGAATTGCTTCTCTTGGATATGATTTTTAAATTTTTTTATTTTTAAAGCGGGATTTTATGTACTTTCATTTTTATTTGAGGACAAACAGAAATTTGTGCTTTCTGCTTGAAGGGACATTGATTTGCTAATTTTTCTCCTTGCTTCTGTGTGTGTTTTGTCATTCTTCAGGCAATATCTACACTTTCTTATGTCTCTCCTTATTTCCCTTTTGTCCATTCTTTTTTCCTACTTTCCATTTTCAGTCCTTTGAGCAAAACATTTCAGGTGTTTCCAAAGCAGTTGTTCTGTCTCTTTAAGTTTGTGACCTCTGCAATGGAAAGTCCAGGCAGTGAAATCAGCAGTGGCTAACAGCTAACTGGTAACAGTTAACAACCCAGCACGTGGTGATTCTGGAGTTAGTCTTGAGTCTTCCTTTAAAAACATACCCTTTAAAATTAAATAGAATATGCTATCTAGTGACTGGAGAAATAATACAGGATGATGTGTGTAGCTCTAAATTACTGCTCTGTGCCTAGGTTAATTTCTTAGTAACAGTTGAATCCAGTTAATTTAGAATCTTGCCTGTTGTTGTGGGCAAAACCATCTTGATTTAGGGAATTTAAGTTATTGTCAGTTAATATAAACTTTCCATTGCTGATTTGGCTAGTGAGATGCAAAGAAGAGAACGAGTTAAACACTTGGGGAAAACTCCTTTCCTCCGTCTTTCCTTCATGCCAGACACCTCCTCTCCCCTGCTTTCCTCGTCTCTTTTCCCCTGGTTGTCCCCACGGGTTACACTCCGTCCCTTGGGCAAAGCAGCAGCGGTGCAGGAGCTTGAGGTTGGTGTGTGGAGGTTTCTTTCTGCTTAGGGGTGTCCCTTTCCCAGTGTGGGCTCCTTCATGGGCTGCAGTCTGTTCAGGGATGTCCTTCTCTGGAGCTTCCTTCCAAGAGTGCATCTCCAGCCACATCCCCAACAATGTCCCCTTCCCCATGCCTCCCCTTGTTTCTTCTTTGCTGCTGTCACACGCCTCCTCTTGTGCTTCCCGTTGTGCTGCCACCAGCAGATCCTCCCTTTCTTCAACAAACCAGATCAGAGGCACTGTGCTCTTCTGATGTGTTGGAATTTTGGCAGGTGGTGGGTTTGGTCCATTATGGAGCCAGCTCGAGCTGGCCATGACCAACATAGGGCAGTTGATGGCTCCTCCCATGCAGCCGCCTGCTACGAAAACCTGTGGTTTATCCCCAACACACCATTGTGCCAGTTGGGTGATGCTGGGAGAAAGGTCCTGCTGTTGCCTAGTTACAGGAACTCTGGCCTCTGGTCTTTCATACATATAGAAATAAACCCAAACTTCTCCGCTGTAGCTTGCTAAATAGCAATACCGTGTTATGTCACTAAGTTGGTAATACTTTTACAGTTGTATTTGTTGTTAACTTGTTTGTTTGAGTAGTGTTTACTCCTATATAACTACTGATATCTGGATTCAGAGGCAGCTGGTCTCTGTAATGATTACATACATACATGTTTTCATAGTGTTTTGGTTTGTTTTTTTTTTCCTAAAACTGTCTCAAAGAGTTTTCCTCTGTTTTTCAGATCTGAAGGTACTAGTTCTGACACAAAGGTGGCAGCTCAGGTTGCCAGGGAAGAGTCAGAGCTCAGCTCCACCAGTGTGAGTAGTCATGTGCTTCTCAGAGATCATTTCACTTCCTTGTTGTTTTGTTTGTCCTACTCATTCAACAATTTTGTTATCTCATCTCTCTTACCTTTTGTTCTGAATTGCTGCCACCCTGACTTCAATGTAGGATTGTGCTTGTTAGAAGAGATGAGATTTCAGGTTTGGGGAAATCAACCCATCTTTTCTCAGTCCTTGCAAAATGAAATCTTGGTAGAACAAGGAATAATTGGGAGTAGTCATGTTTAACAGAAGGCTTGGGAACAAAAAGTTTCTTAGGCACTAAATTCCTATCAACAGCAGAGCCCGTGTGCACAGGGCTGGATGCAGCTGTGGTAAGAGTTGGGCAAGAGTGACAATGGTGGTAGATGGTCAGCATAGTATTGAAACATGCTTTTCTGTAGCCTCGCATGCATGCTGCCTTGGGTGGGTATTAAGTCCCCTTAACTTGTCCCTTCTCTCTTCCTAAGTACATATTGTTTCTAGCTGTACAAAATCTTTACTTGATGTTTAACTTTAAATTGCAGAAAGTTACATGGTTTTCCTGAACTATTGCAGGTGCAGAGTCCTTGGAGTGAAGAGACTATGTATTGATATTGCTCTTAAACAGACAGGAAATAAGCCATTCTTCTTGCTCCTCAGGGCTTTCTGTCCTACACTGTGCCTTAAACATGGAAACTGTAGAAATGAATAGTGTATCCTTGAAACGTCCTCACTCTGAGGATGATGTGGCTAATGCAGATGAAATTAAAAGACAGAAGACCTCAGAGAAGTCTAAGACAGGGAACGACTCTGGGCAAAGCATTGTAACAGAACAACCTGACAAATCTCTGCTTGAGAACACAAAAAATGAAATAATCCCCAATGAGGAAAGTGAGGAGCAGGAAGATGAGGAACTAGAGGACAGTGATGAAGATGGAGATCCAGAGAGCTTTGCAGACATGATGAAGCATGGACTGACAGAAAGTGATGTTGGCATAACTAAATTTGTTAGCTGTCATAAAGGGTTTTCTGGAATCTTAAAAGAGAGGTAACTCTTTGTCTTGTTATGTATGTTAATTCCTTGTGTTAAGCAACTGTTGTTCTCCATTTTCCTTTTCTGACTCTCAGGATGCCTCTGAGTTATGTGCAGCTACTTGGGAGGTTCATCACTTTCTTTTCCTAGTGCCAAGACTGAAAAAAAGGTGTAATTTGGGACTTTAGATTGGTTTCCTTTTTTTTTTTCTTTTTTTTCTTCTTTCCTGTCAAGTGGAGCTCTGAAGAAAGAAGCTGTGTATGGATAGAAATATGTGATTACACTGACCTTTGCTGTTTGTTTTGCTCTGTGGCAGCAGCATACAGCATAAAACTTTATGCAGTACACTCACCTTTTGTACCACTCTTCAGTGCTGATACAAGATACACTGGAGAATGCTATTGAAACCATCCTTTGGTTCTTCTTTGCTTTTTCCTGCAAATGTCATTAAACACATATATTGTGAGATAGTTCATTAGACTTTAAATTGTAGTCTGATCAGTTTTAATATAATTTACAAAACATAAAAGGGAATTTTATAACTCAGGTTGTGGAATTTTACATTATATACTTGATAAGATGTTTGGTGTTTAGTAGGTTTTTTAAATGAAACTTCTAGGGTTTCTAAATTAAATAACATATTGGAATAAAACAGAATTCAAATACCAAAACACTGAAGTGAGAATCATTGTTGCTCTGACATAGCAAGCAGTTAAGGATGCTTTGTTTACACACCAAGAAGTCCATGGTTTTCAATACTGGCTTTGTATATAGATCATTTTACATAATAAAGCGATATATACACATTATGTATGTATTTAATCTTTGTATGCAGCATTAAGCAGCTAGCATAATCCTTCACTGGGGAACACAGTCTGTGCTGAACCTTCTTCTGGGAAATCTGCCAATTTTGAACCAAGGTGGTCAAAGGTAGACAGGTGGTAGAAACGTTCATGGGCTCATGGTTTTTCTTTGATCCTAGTTTATAACACCTATCATTACTTTAGTCCTGGCATTTTTATGGTAGCAGTCACTAGCATGTCTAGACAGCTACAGATAATAAGAGGGAGGACACATAACCCTCCTCAGGAAGGAATTCTCCCAATATGGTGTATGGCTGCACAGAAGTATAGCAAACGGGGGTTGGGGGGAGGTACATTTATTCACCTTTCAATATTCATAGACTAAGAATTTTTTTCTTTTCCTTTAGAAGCAGATGCTACTTAAGAACCATTTATCAGTTGCACCATAGACTGTGCTCTGTTAAAAGTCAGGATGTTTTTATTATTTGACATAATGACTTGATTGAAAATGTCACAGTCAATTTTTTTATTGCTCTGTCATAGAGTATACAGAATAACTTTATTTGAAAAGATCTTCTCTAGAACTGAATATATGTAACAGCTAAATTTGTCTTGCCTTCCTTAGAGTGGCTAACATGCACTTTATTCTGCAGGTTATTTGAAGTGTCAGAGTTAATGCATTTGTATTCACATTGTAGCATAGCAGTAGAGTCTTAATTGTCAGTAATGACTGGGATTGAGGATATGCATTACTGATCTCTGCAAACCAGTAAGAAAATGACTCAGAATAAATCTACAGCAGGTGTTTGGTTATCTGCAAAGAAGTCTGCTGTGTTTAGATAAACCAGACTTCCTTCTGTGTTCTCATGATATCCTTCTGAGGGGTGGGATTAGGTACAGCTTTCTCACGGTTGAAGTTTCTTTTATGTTAATTGAATTATGTAAATTCAGAATTCTTGAGTGAACTCTGCTAACAAACAGCTTCTTGGGAAAGGACTTTATGTGATGCACGATTTTGATTTTTTTAATTACAAATTTAATGCGTGTTTCTTCCTATCAGATATTCAGACTTTGTTGTCCATGAAATAGGCAAAGATGGACGTGTGAGCCATTTGGATGACTTTTCAGTTCCAGTGGATGATGAGGTAAATCTTGAGGTAAAGATTTGGTAATGGCTGTGCTTCTTAAGCAGAAACATTAACAGGCTGAAAGTTGTTCCATGAGAGTTATTGGATATTTGTTTTTCCCCCCCGAAATATGTATTAGGACCCATCAGAAGAGACATTCACAGTTTTGTCAGATGAAGACAAGCAGCGTTTAGAGGAGCTCCAGCTTCTTAAGAATAAGGAAACTAGTGTTGCCATAGAGGTAAAATTAATAAATGATGTTAAGTTTGTGGGAGGGAGGATGAGAGACTGAGTGAGTGGAAGGTACATGCTTTGTAGCACCTGTAAGTTGTAAGAGCAGTTTGAGCATAATGCAACAGGTAATACCAAAATGTTTCCAGTTGAGGGTTTAATTCTGCAAATCCTTACAGATATACTTAAATTTACGCACAGGAATCGTCATTTTGATTTTGGTGGGACTGTATGCATGAACTCAAGTACGCGTCTTCATTTCTGTGGTGGTAAAATTTTCTTGCACTGTTTTGGTTTTCTATCTAGTAGTATTTTATAGAATAATTATGTAAGAAGGAATAAATAAAACATCCATCATGATGAAATACTATTTTCAACATCAGTGTTTAATGATTTAATAGAAAAAAAGATAAATATGCTCTTCTGTAACAAGAAAAATAAGGTGGCACATAATGAAATTAAAACTTGGTATTTTTAAACATATATAAATATTCCATATACTTGAAGAATAACTGTTGAGCTAAATTTGGACAGAGTTGAGTAGGATTGAATCTAGTAATTTCAAATAAGCATTCACACATTAAATAATCTAATTTAGCCATTTTTTTTCCTTTAATGCATATAGACAAACTTAGTTTTGCCAGAGTTTTCATTAGAAGAGGGAATTTTTATTAACTGTAGGAGAGGGGAACAAATCTTGAGAATATTTTTTTGGTGAATCTTGAGATAGGGTTTTGTAGCAGAGTTATTTATTATTTTTCAAACTAATTTTAATAAGTGGGACAGACTTCTAAAACTATACCTATTCAGTACTTCAGTGTGATTTGGTAGCTTTTCTTTAAGCATGCAAAATTTAACTCAGAGAGAATCCCTCCCCTTTTGCATTACTTTATTTGGTTTCTTCATGTGTGTGTATTAACACAGGTAATTGAAGACACCAAAGAAAAAAGAACAGTTATCCATCAGGTGGTGAAGTCCTTGTTTCCTGGACTAGAGACTAAAACAGAGGATCGAGATGGAAAAAAATACATTATTGCTTATCATGCTGCTGGGAAAAAAGCACTGGCAAGTGAGTTTCAGTATCACAGCAGTTGGGTAAAGTAAATGCTAAAATTATCTGAAAAATAAGAATTATTAGTAAGTACTTCAAGTGGAGCATACCTCCTACTCTAGTCTGGCTTTGCTTTTTCCTCTTTGCAACTGATGCTGTGCATCTAAAATGACTAGGAGCACAAGGTGTGTCTCAAATCTAAATTTCTACTAGTTTTTCTTTCCAAATCATTCATCAAATACAACTGTGTTAGAAATGAGAGAATCTTTTGCTATTTCAGTAGGAATAGGCAAAATAGGGGCTTTATTTTCAGTATTGATTGAACTTAGCTAGTTTGAACTTACCTGAATGTGTATGTGTGCATTGTGGAAGAGGTTGTAGTTGAAATGTATAGATTACACTGATGGTCACTGTTATCTTGACTGTCTTGAAAATCCATGACAAAATTCTCAATGACTTGAATAGAGACAAGCACCTATTTGTTTTCTTAGAGTTATAGTTTTATATAAACATAATATATTTACCATGATCTTTAAGGCTACTTGTGCTTCCAAAGCTAATTATATTTGCAGAACATTGTCTTTATTAATTATAAATCACAGTTAATGTTTTGGAATAATCAAAGTAATGAAGGATTTTCAAAATGAAGTGTTATCAACCTTAACCTTGCCAAATACCGTTTTGGTTACTGGGCATAAATTCATGGTTTTAGTCTTATTACAAATTTGTTGCTATTGTAAGTTGAGAGGATTGTTTACATGCAGAATGTTGCACATTTAATGAAAGGTTTGGCTTGGTTTAAACTGATTGCATTCCTGTGTCATTTCAGCCTACTAAAAATGACAGTGTAAACCTATCTGTTTTATTTTAAAGATGAAGGAGATGGAGAAAGGATAAGGAGATAAGATAATTTAAAAATGGAAATAGCACCATCTCCACATTCAATTTAGTTATTTTTTTAACTTGTTCTACGCAAATATGGAAACGTTGTACTTTTATTGGTACCATTATAATGTGTTTATGTATTTTGTTTAACCGTGTTCAGAAAAATTGTATGTTTGCATGCTTTATGCATGGAGTATGTATACTTACCAGCACAAAATTCTCCTCAGCCAGTTTGTTCTCTGTTGGTTTGTAATGGTTTTACCTTCACCTTTTCCTTCTGCTGCTTCTATTCTTTAATCATTGTTACAGTCAAGTGGTTGTTATTAAGCTGACCAGTCTGATTTAAGAGATAGTGTGTAAAAGAATTTAAGTATTTGAAATATGCAGAAAAGAATTTAGTAATGTGTCTCTAGGATTAAAACATTATCTGGAGCACCATCTTGTGATGCAGAGGAGCATCATCTGTTTAAACTTGGATTCCTAAGTTGTGATGCTACAGACACTTGTGTGTGTTGGTGAAGATGTGTGCAATTTCAGTGAGTGTGTGTAAATGCTTATGAATGTAGGATTTAAGAGTGCAAGTGCTTTTTAGCCAGGATTATATTTATCTTTTGTGTTTATATAGCCACTAACGCGTCAGTCCTGAGTAGGTTCCCCAGGCAAGAAACATCTCAGAAGTGTAGAATATTTGCATATTAGCTGAGACTCCTGATTACTTTTGTTGATAATGTAAAAGGTTACCAAACATACTTTCCTAAAATTTAACACTAAAAGCTGCTTTGTGTCTATAGTCACTCAAAATACTTAAAATACTACCTTACTAAATTGTCAGTAAACTGCTGTTTCATCATTGTCCACAAATGAAGTTTGTTGCATCTCCAGTTGAAGCTTTCCATACGTTCACTGTTTGCCTCTGCACGATTCCATTGCATAACTGTCTAAATTGCTGTCATCCACCACCTAACTGTTGGATGCTCCCTAAAGCATAAACAATCCCATAACCATAAACCTGCATGTTCACCTCTAAAACCCCTTCGACAGTCTAAAAATTAAATGCTACTCTTTTGTGCTCTTTATGCTATGCACTGGGACAGAGGTCAGAACTGCAACAGGTAAGAGTTGTTGACATTTCATGCTAACCAAATGAAATGCCAACCATTATGACCTCCTAAATAGCCACAAGACTGGCCAAACTAGTAACAATTAATCCTTTAAAAAAGCCCTACGCATAAGTAATGCTTAAAATTCCCTGAAACAGCCAAGGATTGGGCTTGTGCTACCTCTTTTTCCTAGTGCAGTATAGGGAGTACTCATTCAATGCAGAGAAAGTCTGAGAGTAATAAATTAGGTGAATGATCAGTTTTGATGATACTGTTTGACACCTGTGGTAAATTTTCCAGTGATTTAAGTCAGTCAAACCTTTGCTTTTCAGCCTTGTATTTCAGATACCACTATCTGTATTTATACAACTTTAAAATTATATCTCATACATCCTGGTATTAAAAAAGAGCTTCTAGCCCTTGATTTGCAGTGAAAGGTTTGAAAAAAAGGGCTTGGAAATACAGTTTCTCTGTCAAAACTGTAACATGGCTCCGAAATGTAGAAATAAGGACTGGAAACTCTTCCTCTGGTCCATCTACCCAGTTGAATACTTTGAAGTATTGAGTGAGGAATGGTTAACTACTGGGACTGCAGCTGCAGCCTCCCAGTACTCAGCATGGCCAGTGGAGTGGATAGGCACATGGCTGTGATGCCCAAAGCCTGAGGAGCCCATTGGTATATATAGTATCTGTAGAGTCCTTTTAGACTAGCCCAGATTAGGGCTCACTTTTTGAAGGGTGTTGAAATGACTGTGTGCAAGATGGATTAGTTAAATTTAAAGAATAATTCCAGCTGGAGAAGATTTTCCTTGTGAATCATGCTTTGTCTTCCTCTCTTCCCATTACTGAGTTCTTCATGAAGGACCTTGCTCTTCAAGCTGAATGCAGTGTTTCATTGTATTTAAGAGCAGTGGTGGCTCAGAAGGGAGATCAGGAGCATGAGGTCTCTTTAACCGGCTTTGGACCATACTGCTCAGTTTAGGTCCTAGGGAACTTCATGGGGGAGCTTTGCTTAGAAACGATGGTGTAAGGCAAGCATTGCTATAATTTTTAAGTTATTGAAAACTACGTGTATAGTATTCTGAACTGTAGCATCCAAAATTGTTTTTGCAGAAGTGTGTGTATGGATGGCAGCTTCTCAAAAAAAAAAAAAAAAAAAAAAAAAAAAAAGCAAGAAGAATTAACTTTTACCGGAAAGTTTCGTGAAAATTAAATTTATTCACTGTCTGTGTGGGACATCTGGGCTTCATTAAACTAACGTGAACAAAAAGAGCAAAATTTCCTAAGAGCTGCTTTCCTGCATTGGTGTTTATATACTGGAATAGGACTGGCCTCTTCAGTTAGCTTTTGCTATTAGGAAAGATGCTTAAGCCTTTTTGTACTAAACCAGGAATGTCTGCTTGGTGGCTACCAAGAGATAAAGGACTTCTTATTTAAAACCAAACAAATCCTTAGTTTTGTTCTTAAAGAACTGATAAACAGAGTAGCTCAGAATTGGTTGCTAAACATGTTGTAGAATCAGTCCTCCTTCCCAGTGATGCCATCAACAGTGGATGATTTTAAAAGGAAAGGTTTACTTCTGGAGGCTTTTATGTACAACAAAAGCATGACAAGTACATTGACAGTTTTCTTTCCTCTGCAGAAAATGGCAAATAATTGTACAGAATTGTAAATCAGTTGTTAGTCTGCCAGAGCTGAAGTTATCTCACCCTGGCTTGAATTATTAATGTCTATTGAGCCGGATTTCTCTCCCATAGGACTTTTAAAAAAATTTACCTAAAAGTAAATTTTTGTGAGTATACTTTTTAGTCTTTTGTAGAGATACAACCCATGCTTTTGCATGACACCCAGGAAAAATCCTACAGAAATGAATATGTTAGTACCATAAATAATAATTGTACTATTCCCACGAACAGAGCTCCAGTGGTCCTCATCTATTAATTACAGAAGGCACTAGATGAAGTGTAGAGTGGCTTTTATTGCTGAAAGTCAATGTAATGATAATGTTTTTGAGAAATTTAAGCAGGCAATATTGCAGTTAAATGACTAGGGTATATTTTTTAGATAATTTAATGAGAACTGTCACCGTTTCATTCAAGATTTTCTAGGTGACAGAATTCATTAAAGAGAAGCTTACAGCCCAGTGGAAGGGAAGAAGGTCTTTTTAAATGTGCTTTGCAGGTTTTGGTATCAGTAATTCACTTTCCTCTTTTAAAAAAAGCAGATGGAAATTAGCAGAAATTAACTCTTGCATATTTTTTTAAATGTGGCTGCAATGACAGATACTAATTAAATTTTTTTAAATGACACTACAAATGTTAACCTTTTTTTTTTTTTTTAAAAGATCCAAGAAAACACTCTTGGCCAAAATCTAGGGGAAGCTACTGCCATTTTGTTCTGTACAAGGAGAACAAGGATACTATGGATGCCATTAATGTCCTATCCAAATTTTTAAGGTAAGGCTATTGTTTCTGCCAGCCTGACTAGCATGCAGTCCTCCCTCTGCACATTTCATGTAACTGTAAATCTTATGCTTCATAATCATGTAAGAGCAACACAAGTGATTACTATTGCCTAATTTGTAGCCAGTGTTAAAAAAAAAAAAAGTTATTTTAGAATATCAAATTTGAAACTTCTAAGTTTTGGAAGGAGGTGAGAATGGAACAGAATGATCCCAAGAATTTAAAAGACTGTACTCTACTACTTCAGTGGACTTTGGCTGGTCTTGGCAGCTGAAAGCCTTGGTGTGTGTAACCTGAATGAAAAGCTATTTCTTTCCTAGTGTGTAACATACACAAATATGTTATGAACCTGTCCAATAGTGTTGTGATAATAGGCTGATCAGTTCCTAAGCAGTTACAGCTGGTAAACTGTTGTTCCATGTATTAATTTCTCCATGGCAACACAGCCTTAGTTCCTTTCACCCCATCAAGTGTGGCAACAAAAAGGTTTGCCAGAGGACTGAAGTGAACACAGTGAATTGCAGAGGAAGGACTATTTTAAAGTTGGGTCAATTCAGTGATCTGCTTGTAGGGAAACTTCCACATTTCTCCCCTCCTTTTCCCTTCACTCTTCCTGTCCAGAAATAAATGTTGTAATCTAGCCTCTGACTAGTATACTAGTAGTATTTGTGTTTGAGAACAGAATGGTAGGACCGTAGTTTGGTGGAAAAATGCATGTAATGGTAAGCCTGATACCCCCTGGTGCCCATAGCTGGAAATATTCCCTGTGTAACACAGGCTGTAAAGTACAGAGTGGAAAGGAAAATAAATTTTCCTCTCAAGGAAAGAAATGGATCAAACTTTAAATTCTCATATCCTCACTTAATGTACATGCATAATATTCAAACAGACATCTTATTTGAAGTTTAAGGAAGAAATGGACATGAGGGGTTTTTTTTTTAGTGAAATTAGTGGTGGTTGCATATTTGTGCATTGAGTGCATGTATATAAAGGAGTACTTTAAAGCTCTCATTCTGAAAGCACAGTTGTGGTAAAAATGGATCTGTCTACATATAATTAAAAAAGAAGTTTCCCCGTGTTTTATGTACTTACAGATGAGATGAGAAAATGTCACATATGTCGAATTGTAGTCTAGTTCTATTTTTTAATATAGATGATTAATAATTTTAGGTAATTATGCTAAAAATTATATTTGATTTGTGGCTATTTTCATATACATAATATCTGTTACTGTTGCTTTTAAGAGTGAAGCCAAACATATTTTCCTACATGGGAACTAAAGATAAGAGGGCTATAACAGTTCAAGAGATCGCTGTTCTTAGGTAAGTGAAAGCATACTGGAGTATTTGCACTCCTAATGTGATAGCTTGAATATTCACTTTAATACCTTGAAGACTCAGTATGCATGTGACATAAATGGTGGATTCAGGTCCTGATCTTATAAAACACATGTATTAATGAAGATACTATAATCCTTTTTTATTCCATGGTGATTGCTAGTATTTTCAGGCAGTGGTCCTCTGAGCTGTGGGCTGGATACATGTATTTGGCTGAAGCAGTGGGCCAGATTGCCTATGTGCTCTTATGCTGCATGGCTCCCATGTAACAGCAGAAAACCAGAAATTATGTCCCGTTTTCTTTCTGAATTTATTTCCCTATTCCTCCAGCTGGAATCCTTTTTTTTTTTTTTTCCCCACTGATCTCTCTGAACAGCTACAGAGAAGGCTAATCACTGCCTTTGCTCATGTGTGAGTAGCCAGAAGGGGCAAAAAATGATGAGGAATTTTTCCTGCTTTAACCTACTCCCATTAAGTTGCCTACTAAGAGAAAACAAAATTTATTTTGTTTCCAAGATAATTATATGGTTTCTGGGAACTTGAAATTAGTGCTACAACCATGACTGAGAATGATGGATGCCTCACAGTCATATATTACAATATCTGTTTATCTAGCTGGAATATTATTCATGGACTCCTGTTTACAATTCTTTGAAAACCACATTCCTTAAGTGAGGAATTACAAGGCTTGAGCACCAGAAATTTGATCAAATTCTTGTTAAAAGGATGACATTCATTACTTAATTATTTGTATTTTTCCTCCCACACTTTTGCATGTGCATATGTTTGCACATATAAAAGGACTTACTAATTTGTGAATCATGAGAAGCCCCAGATTCTTGTTGCTGCAAGGCAAGTTTGCAAAGTGATGACAGTGAAGCAAACTTGTGGTGTTGCCATCTTGGGTGCTCTTCCATTTACTTTAAACATGATCACATTTAATGTTGAGTACAAGATTTTCAGCACATTGTGAGCACTGACTAGGGGGAACATACTGATTTGTGGTGTCTTTTCAGTAGTGCCACAGTACCCAACTCTCGTGTGCAACCTTGAGAAGGATGGCATAGGAGAGGAGACATTACCATTTATTAACCTGCTGAGCTGAGTACACAGGCCATGCTGGTTGATAAACTTGTCTATCCTGCTATAAATTTTAGTGGAGTTGTCAAGAGAGTGAGTTGGTGATGCAAAGAATGGGGTATGCTTCCAAAAGTACTAGCAACAAAAATGACAGATACCAGTGACAGATTGGATTTCATATTCCATCTGCATTAAGCTTATACAGTGGCTAATTACTTAACTCTGTGTTTATGACTGTGCTAACTGGAGTATGTTCATGGTGTAGTTAAGTAAAGCAGAGTTCAGCTTGTGGGGTACAGTATACATCAATATTGCAACATTGTTTTGTATATAGTGTAACATAGATGTGAAAAGCCAGTACTAACTTTCTCTGTCTCTTAAGTAGCCTTAAGAATTACCTGTTCTTTTCTTTTAGGTGTTTGATTAAAATACTTTAAAAAGGCAACAATAGAAAATTGGGCAAACTGGACTCGCTGTTTTTGTTTTGAAATGCCAACATTTCTATATTTATTTACCTATGTTCTTCTTCTAAGCATGGATTGGTCACTGTTGTCTGTTTCTTTTTAGAATCACTGCACAAAGACTTGCTCATTTGAATAAATGTTTGATGAACTTCAAACTAGGAAACTTCAGTTACAAGAACCATCCACTGAAATTAGGAGAACTTCAAGGAAACCATTTCACTGTTGTTCTCAGGTGATATGTTAGTATGTATTTAGACAGTTCTGTTAGAATTTTTTTTTTCTTTAAATAGTTAAGGTATATCAGTGCATCTTGTGTTATAAAAAAGAAGAGTCCTTCTGTTGGCAGGAATTAAGTACTGTATAACGTTGATGTTGCACTTTAATATTATGGGGATCACAAAGTAGTATAAGTCCTTAATAATCTGTCTATACCATTTTTTTTTTAATGCTAGAAACATAACAGGCACTGATGACCAGATAGAGCAAGCAATGCATTCTCTCAGGGAAATTGGCTTCATTAATTACTATGGAATGCAAAGATTTGGAACCACAGCTGTTCCTACATATCAAATTGGCAGGTATATGTTGTTTTCATCTCTTTAATTATTTATTTATTTTAACCCCTATATAACTTCTAATGTATTTTGGGGAATGTTTTTCTAGCATATTGCATGTCTCAGTTTTAATTTTAGATTCAAGAAGGAACTTGTTTCTGAACTTGTTTCAGCAGGTGTCTTGCATAATACCCCTACTTTAAATATTTCATAAATCTAAACGCTTCTTAAGTTGGCTAAATCTCCTTAAAATATATGTAGTCAGTTCTTAATAAACTTTACTGTTTGAATCTTAGAGCTATTCTACAGAACAATTGGAATGAAGTAATGGATTTGATATTAAAACCACGACCAGGAGGTAAGGACTGAAAAATTATACTTCAGGTGTTTCTGCCTCTCCTTCTCCAATAATTGTATGTTCAGGAAAAACACTTAGATTTCGATTCTTTTAATTTGAAAGGGTGTTTGTGAGGACAGCTTTGCGCGTGCTAAACTACAGCCAGTTTAGCAATGGAGAAGCAATCTTCAGACTCTTCGCTTTCTGCTGCTCTTTCCTTGCTGTGTGGTTTCTTGCGGTGGGGTGAAAAGGGACCTGAATACTTACACACAGAATCTGTTCAGACTCTACATGAAGCCTTCCAGCCTTAACTATTCTATGATTCTGTTAATCTGTGTAACTACTGTGACAGAAAATTTATAATTTTTCAACTGTTTTAACAAAATGTAAGATGGATTTTTGTTTTTACATCCTCATTCTAGCTGAAAAGGGATACTTAGTAAAATGCAGAGAAGAATGGGCAAAGACTAAAGATCCAGCAGCAGCCCTCAGGAAACTACCCGTAAAAAGGTGCGTGGAAGGACAGCTTCTACGTGGACTCTTAAAGTATGGAATGAAGAACATAATCTCTGCATTTGGCATAGTGAGTGTAAAAGTGCTGTGGGGTGTTTACTTGAATAAATGCTCTTTTGATAGTATCATGATGAATTTGAAGTAGACTCATAGATGCTTGATGAGTAGAAGGTTAAGTGTAAAATCCTTACATTTTATCCTGCCTTTTTGTTTTAAGTACTGCTGCATGGTAACTGATGACATCTGTAATTAATGTATGCATAATGAGCTTTCCAGTTTATACAGCAATTTCTCTGGTATGTTGGAAGCCATACAATTATGCTTCGTAACCATGTATAATACAGGTCTGAGAATTTTCTAAAGTTCAGTATCAGAGTTTTTCTGTTGCTTTAAAAATATAAATTAAGCTGATAGTGTGCTAATGAATCAGCTTGGCATAGAGGTGGTGTCATTTTCAAGTACTGTAATCAAGATCGAGTCTTTGGAGAAAATACCTCATCACCAGCAAACTACTGGGCCCATTGTAGGAGCTGAGAAATAATTTCTTGGATATGAAGAAGATAATTAGAATAACACTGTGCTTTCACATCTGCAAAGTTTACTTAAGATTTCAGAGGGTTGATGAATTCAGTGTTTTATAATAGCTGCATGTGTTTCAGCTGTTGAATAAAAAAAAATTTCCAAAAGCTTTTTTAAAAAAAATTAAGCACAGGGGGTTTTCTTTGTAGATTTAAAATGTATAAAAACGTTATTTCTTCACATACTTTTTTCCCAAATAATGAACAAAAAATTAAACCTGTATAGCAAGAAATTGTGTTAGTCTTGTTGCTGGAGGAGGTAACATTTCAAATATAAGCTTTTTTGGTTATGATTGAGAGAAAAAAATGATTCACTTTTTTTCTTTTCTGTATCTCTAGATACCAAGAAATAATCGTTTAATGTATATTCATAGCTACCAGAGTTATGTGTGGAATAATATGGTGAGCAAGAGAATAGAAGAATATGGGCTTAGAGCTGTAGCAGGAGATCTCACACTTAAAGGAGGTAAAATCAGACAAACAAAAAGCCAATGACACTGTGTGGTTTAAATTCCTAGGAAAACAAGGCACATATCTCTTTATTTGATACTGCTTACATTTTTTCTTTTCCTTCTCACCCACTTTGGTCCAGTGATTTCTGAATCCATTGGACAGTTTTAGTCAAATTTCACAGGGAATTGGGAGTTAAGTATTACACATCCATGAGCAGTTGGTTTGCTTGTTTTTTCATATAGCTGGATAGGGAAGAGAGACTATGAAAGACTGACTGTTCTCAAGAATGAACTCAAACCTAGTTGAGCTATGGAGACCTATGGAAGGATGTTATGAATGTGTTAACCACGGAAATTTTTGTTTGCATTAGTATCTTGTAAAGCAGAGGCTCTGCTTAGTTTCTTCACTTGGATTTGCTCAGGCATTTCCCTGGGATGAGAATATCCACAGTATTTCTCCTTCATGTATGCCTGATACCTGGTAAGGGAACTGTTCATCTAGCAGTCCTTACTTCATTCAGCTTTAAAAGTCGCTGGAAACCAGGCTGTAGTTCTGCCAGTAACTGTGACAGCCTTAAAGACTGTTACTTCTTTTCTTGGAAATGTTGTCTATTAAGTGGAGATAAAACACCAGTTACCCCTCTCAGAGTAGGCTTTTTTCAGTCAAATGGTTTAAAATTCAAATTTAATTTGAAATGTTAACTGTGATGGGCATCCATGCTGATAACTCTTCATTTTTCTGTCCTGATTGTAGCCACAGCTGTTCATATTGAAGAAGGAGATGTTGATAACTACACTATTCACGATGTAGTGATGCCATTGCCTGGATTTGATGTTATTTACCCAAAACATAAAAGTAAGTCTGACTGCTAACTTATGTACCTACTCTGAAAATGTAAGTCTACTTTAAGTTTGTTCTTAAAAGGAAGATTAGATCTATGCAACCGTGGTTTCAGATCTGTATTGTAACTTGTTTCATTTAACATAAATCTGTTTCATATTTCTTTTTAGCTAATAGCTTTTCCAGAGAAATAAATTTTTTACTGAGGCAAAATTACTTATCTCAGCAGAAAGGGGAAAAAATGGTGAAATGTTAATTGAAAAGTGTATGCCTATGATTTTTAAATGAGAAAACAAACCAAACTTCTAGAATCTGTAACCCAAGCAAATGCTTGAAGTTAGGAAAAAGAACCAGAGGTGTTTGTTTAAATATTAAACAATATGAATGTTTTAAAAAAAAATTATATCTTTCATCTCCTGTAATACATTGTATTGGATCTAAATTGTCTTTAAAGGAATAGGTTGAGTGATCTATAATTATTTGCATTGAACATGATGTTATCATTAAGGGATAGAGTTGCAGAATCATTTCAGTTGGAAAGTGCCTTAGGAGGCCATCTGGTCCAACCTTTTGGTCAAAGCAAGGTCAGTGCTGTATTCTGGCCAGCTTGGTCAGGGCTTTGAAACTTGCAATAACAAATAGTCTCAAAGTTCTCCTCTAAGTCTTCTCTTCATTAAAGAAGCCCAGTTCTCTCAGTCTGTCCTCACAGGGCATGGGCTACAAACCCTGGCCATTGGAGTGGTCTTCCATTGGACTCGTTCAAGTTTATCAGCATCTACTTTGTAGTGGACACACTATTCTAAGTGCAGTCTCATGAGTGCCCAGTGAAAGGCAGTAATATTTTTTCTTGATGTAGCTACTGCTAAGCCTGTGTTGCTGTTAGCTTTTGTGGCTGCCAGGGCACTCTATTCATTCTCCTTTCCACAGGGAGTCCCAGGTGACTGTCAACAAAGTTGCTCCCTAGCCTGTACCATTGCAAGGAGTTAATCAGTCTCAGGTGCAGGACTTTGTCCTTGCTGAATTTCATGAGGTTCCTCTTGGCTCACTCCCCTAGCCTGCCTAGATTCCTCTGAAGGGCAGTCCTGCCCTTGGGTGTATCAATGGCCACCCAGTTTGATTTTGTCCACAAACTTGTTGGAGTTAATTCCAAGTCCTTCTCCATGTATGCTGATAAAGGTATTTAACAGGACACATCCCAGTTCCATGAGGAACTCTGCTTGTAACAGGCTTCTAGTTAGAGCTGAAACCAGTAGTGACTATCCTTTGAGCCAGACAGTTTTTTACTCATCTAGCAGTCCACCTACAGTAATCTTCTAACCTCAGATACAAGGATGCTGTGGGAACATGTTGACACCCTTGCTAAAGGCAAGGTAGGCAACAGTCACTGCTCTCCCCTCATCCACAGGTGTAATAATTTCATCATAGAAGGCAGTAAGGTTGGTGGATTTTTTGGTTTTTCTTTTCTTTTTCCCCCTTTCGTAAGACCATGCTCACTATTACTCTCATTGTGTGCCCAGAAATGTGATTCAAGACCATTAGCTCCATTATTTTTCCCAGGGACCTGGGAAAATGAGTCTGACTGGTCTGTAATTCCCTAGATCATCCTTCTTGCCCTTTCTGTAGATGGGTGCAACTCTTGGTTTTCTCACCTTGTGATCTCCTCAGATCTCCATCTTTCAGAGATGGTAGAAAAAAGCTTTACCACAACATGAGCCAGCTCTTTTGGCCTGTATCTTCTTCCACTACTGATAGTGCCTCTTGGGACAGAGGCTTGGAAGACCTTGTTTGTCAAGACTGAGGCAAAGAAGATGCTGAGACCATCAGCCTTATGTCTGTCACTAGGCCAGCTGCCCCATTTATCAGCAGGCCAACATTTTCCTTGTTGTCTTTTATTCTTGATGTTGCAGTTTAACTCTTACTCTTGATGTCTGTTGCTGATTTCAACTCTAGCTGAGCTTTGGCTTTCCTAACGCCATCCCTACATGCCAGGACAATGTTTGTATATTCCTTCTTTGTAGCTGGCCCTAGCTTTCACCTACTGTATCTGTCCTTTCAATATCAGCTTAGTCATGAGTTCCCTGCTTAGCCAAACCAGTCTCACAATGCTTGTTTTATCTCTGGAACACTCGGAAGGTAGAGATCTATTTGTGATGAGGTGTGGCTCTGAACCACATTGAGTTTAAAATTCCCAACTGCATGAAGTAATGCTGGCAATTGCACTTCAAATCAAAGGCACCCGACAGTATTTTATCTGCAGTGTATTATTTTATTTCCATTGCCTTCCCTGTCTTCTCCAGGTGTGCATGCACATGCCCTTAGGGATACAAGACTGTAATAGAATTATTCCTTCTGTTGGCAGTGTACTCAAAGGTCCTTACTATAATATCTTGAGAGGGCTCTCTTAAGTTTTCAAAGATTGAGCAAAGGGTAGTCTGGCCCTTTTTCTCTTTTTCCCCTCCATATACGTAAGATTAGTCTTGTGAAGTTTATGTATTTGGAAAGCATGTATGAGATGTCAATTAAATGCCAATAAAATATTTTGTAAACTTTGTCTTCAACTGAAATTTTGATTTGCTAAGATTCTTGGTTACTGCCGCTACTAATCAGGTTGTAGAAGCAAACATCGTAGGTCATAAGATTTACAATAAGTAATTTTAAACTTCTTTGTAATGTTTATTCCATATATGCTGAAAATTACTAAATATAAGGGAAGGAATGATCCATGAAAACAGGCTGTTTCAACTGGCTGTATTACACACCCAATTAAATATTTTCCTCTTCTTGCAGTTGGTGAGGCTTACAAGGAAATGCTGGTAGCTGACAATCTTGATATCAACAACATGAGGCATAAGATCAGAGATTATTCACTTTCTGGAGCATACAGAAAGATTATTATTCGACCTCAGAATGTCAATTGGTAAGTAGCAGGAGAAAGGAAATTACACTTGAATTGACAGCATGGAGTATATGTGGGATGACCCAAGTACAAGAATCATTAGATTGACCCATGGGACGTACACGTAGACTGAAGCATAGGTAGAGAGGAATCTCTGTGCATTTCCCTCGTGTTTTTGATGCAGCTGAAGTTGAACCACAGCCTTGCTTCTTCCTTGGTCTTCTGGTTCTGTGATGCATGAGTGTCAAGACATCTATCTAGTTGTTATACTTCTTGCAAAGGGCTTGTCTGAACACTTCATAGATAATTATTTATGTTGGAACCATGATAGATAATATTCAAAACAGGCTTTTTTGTAGTTTTGCTATGAGAAAGTCGGTCTCCAATTACCTGTCTGTCAATCGGAAAGATCTGTATCACTTAAACCTACTAAATTACTGTTCTTAGGGAGAAAGCCCAGTTGTCATACAACAACTGAATAAATACGTTTTAAACAGGTGATTGTACAAATGTGCATAAGGACTTGATCACTGATGCATAGGAAAAAAATATAGAGGGTTTAGGAGGGAGACAGAAAGTACAAATGTTTACACTTTATTTTAATTAGTGCTGATGTTTAAAGCTCATCTACTTCCTAGTTACTTTTTCAGCCTTGTCATTACATATTGGATTTCTGTTAAATGTATGGTAGAAAGAGTAGAATATGTATTTAAGCCCTTTCAAGGAAGTTTAGATGGCTTTCTTCAAAATGAAGGCACTTTCCCCCCCTGAAGTATTCTTAGAGTTGACACCATTCTTCCCGTAATTTCACAGACTATACTTCTTGTATAGCTGGAAGCCCTGACAGCCCATGAGGGCAAACAGATGAGTTATGCAAAGAAACTTCTCACTACTTTTTTTTCTTTTAAAAATAATCTTCATCAGATAGACGTGAGTCTTCTACATAAAGCTTTACCAGTTACTGCACCATAAATGCCACCTTCCCTTATTAGAAAACTAACTCAATTTCAGCTGTAACTGCCAAACTGGAATAATAAAATTTAATATTATAATAAACATGAACTTATATAAAATAATAAACATATAAATTTTATTCTAAATAATTTAAAATATTTTTTAAATCTTACATATATTATAAAGGGAGGTCGTTGCATATGACGATCCCAGAATCCCATTGTTTAATACGGATTTGGATAAGCTGGAAGGAAAACCATTACCAGTTCTTCCTACAGGTAAGTTGATTTGTCAATGGATGTTTGTAAAATAGAAGTTTGATCTGGGTGTTGCTTTGAACTACTACGTTTGAAATACTACACATTTTAAGGAAGAGCTTTCATTTAACTAGACTGTTAAGCCGTGGTATTAAAGATATCCAAAGTTAGGTGTCTGAATAAGAACCTTTGTTTCTCAAGTGTGCAAGCAATTCTTCCAGCAGTCTGTGTTATATTTTCTTATAGGTATTTGTAAAATCAAGTAAATGCTTAGCAATA